GCGCCTGTCCCGCCCCCGCCGCCTGCCGTCACTGACACCATCTGGCACTTTCTCCCAGCTTCTCCGAGGCAGTTAAACACTCTTGGCTGTGCTGCCATTTGGAGCCACAACAGATTTAACTGGCAGAAGGAAAACGTGAAAATATTTTGAGTCTTTTGTACACAAAGAGAACGTGAACTCTCGCGGTTAAAGCGAAGCCAGAAGGCTTGCTTCCTCACGTGAAATTAGAAAAGGCCGTGGTGTCCGCCATCTGGGTGCCTACGCGGCGGCCAAGACCCTGCTCCTTGTCCTGCGAGGCTCTCATCGGCTTAGCTGCTCAGACCCCATGAAGCTGATGAGCAGCTTAAGCAGCCAGGTTCATTACGTGGTTTTAACTTGCAAATTCGGAAGTGGCCCCTTGAGGAGTGCGCCCTGTTGAAGGTGGGGCTGCGAAGGGGTCTGCTGTTCCCACAGGGACTCCAGACCCTGTCCTCAGGGCCCCAGCAGCCCCAAGCCCCTGTTTCCTGAGACAGTCTGTGTGGCACATGCTTGGGTGGAGGTGTCACTTTTCTAAAAGCAAAAAATTTTTTTAAAATATTTCTGAAAGGAAATTTGACTCCAGTGGATGCCCAGTCCCTCACCTCTGCACCCCTGCCCTGTGTCCTGCTATCTGGGTGTGATGACATGGCTGCAGAGGGACAGACATCCTCGTACGTGTCTGCCTCTCTCTGGCCTTGTGGTGTCAGGGTCGGGGGTCGGTTCACCCCTGTTCCTACTGGCCAGTGCTGCCCACCCGTCCCCCTGGGTCTCAGGACCTCAGCTGCTGCCTGTGTCAGCGCCTGTGTCTTCGCAGTTCATGGGGCGGCTTGGACTTGGTGGCTGAGGTGCTGGTGGGGCAGGGCGGGGCCGGCAAGTGGAGGCTCTCAGTGGAGCTCCATCCCCAGGGTGACGCTGTGCTGCCTTCCAGGTGGGCCTGGATCCTTCAGGATGCGCTGGGTATCGCCTTCTGCCTCTACACCTTGAAAACCATCCGCCTCCCCACGTTCAAGGTGAGAGCCCTGTTGGGGAGGGGCAGGGGTGCTCCTGGGACTAGGGAACAGGACCTTTTCACATCAGCCCAGTGCCTGCCTGCCGTGAGCCTCCTTGAGGCCTCGCACTCTGAGCCTGGCCCTACGTGGGTGTCGTGATCTTTGCTCATCTGTCCCCCAGCCACCTCCCTGGTGACAGGGCTTAAGGATCAGCTACAGAGTCACTTCACAGCGTGGTGGCAGCACCAGTGACCACATGGCCAAGGGGACACCTGGGCGGGCACAGCGAGGTGGACAGAGTAGGGGAAACCAGATGACACCAGGCAGGGCAGAGCGCAGGGCCGAGCACGCGGCTGGCACTGGTTCCCGGCGGGAAGAACTCAGAAACACATGGGGAAACGTGCAGACAGGTGACCCTTCCTCAAACCCGCCACCAGCCAGTCACGGCTGCGTGTCCCCTGCCAGCCCCGTTCTTGGGTTTCCATCAGAAACTTGGAAACCTGGACCTTGGCTCTCCCTGAGCCTCAGCCTGATGTTGCCTCCTGGGCAGCGAGCGGCCTAAGGGCTTTGTCCCCCTGGGGGAGGCCTGAGCTTTGTGGGGGCGGGGACGCGTCCCGGCGGGTCCATGTGCTGGGCAGGCGTTGGGTGTCCAGAGCACGGCCCTCAGGACGCCCCGTCCCCAGGCTTGCACGCTGCTGCTGCTGGTGCTGTTCATCTACGATGTCTTTTTCGTGTTCATCACGCCCTTCCTGACCAAGGTGGGCCCCGCCCCTGCTCCCACACCTCTGAGCCGCCCCGCCCCGCCCCCTCTCTGGCCCGCCCCACCCATGCTCCCACCCCTCTGAGCCGCCCCGCCCCCTCTGACCGCCCCCCTCTGACGCCCCCTTTTGTTAGAGCGGGAACAGCATCATGGTGGAGGTGGCCACCGGGCCCTCGGACTCAGCCACCCACGAGAAGGTACGTAGTGTCCCGTGGTTGAGGCACCGGCCGGCGTGAGCAGCGGGCTCGGCGGGTCCTGGAGACTGCTGCCTCCCCGCTTTCCCCAGCTCCCCATGGTCCTGAAGGTGCCCAGACTGAACACCTCACCGCTAGCCCTGTGTGACCGGCCGTTCTCCCTCCTGGGCTTCGGGGACATCCTGGTCCCAGGTACTGGGGTTGGGCTTGGGCGGCCGGGGTGGCCTTGGAGTTGTCAGGCCAGAGGGGCCCAGGGGTGGAGGCGGTGCTGAGCAGGTGCGTGCAGCAGGGATGTGGCCCGTTGGAGCTCTGGGGCAGCCCTGCTGTGTGGTCGCGCTGCACAGACCTGCCTCACCAGCCAGCCTGTATCCCGTGGCGGGACCTTCCTGGCCCCTCCACCCCACCACAAGCCTCCGTGCTGGGGTCTGTGCTCGCCTGAGGTCTTGGGTTACCCGCCACGCGTCACGGGCAGCACGGCCCCAGCTCTGTGCTGAACTGGAGAGGGGCGCAGGGCACCTGATTCCTCCCGTGGAACCACCCGGGCCCGACTGGGGCTGCAGCCTGGCCCACGTCTTCTCTCCCCCAGGGCTGCTTGTGGCCTACTGCCACCGCTTTGACATCCAGGTGCAGTCCTCCAGGGTCTACTTCGTGGCCTGCACCGTCGGTAAGCCCCCTCCCCAGGGGCTCAGCCTCGCCTATCCTCCATCTGGGTCAAGGGGACAGGCCTGCATCCACGTCACTGTTCACTTCTCACTCCACGGTTTTTCTTTCCTTTTGTCTCTGTCTTCCTCTTTTTTCTTTGTTTTCTGTTTCTTTTGTTACCAAAGCCCTTTACACCAAAAGGACATTTCCTCATTTCAGGTCAACCCAGTTGTTTTTAAAACTGTGCACATTCATTCTGTGGTCCAGTGGGGTCAGCTCTTAGGAACAGCCGGGGTGCAGAGTGCACAGGCCCCGCGGCCTGACCCCGGTGAGGGGAGACCCCATCAGTGCCACGTAAGCCGGCCTTCCCGGCATATTTCTGGGCCATTGGCATCCGCCCACTCCCACCCGGTTCCTGCAGCTCCAGGCAGTCCAACCTGACCCTTCCCTTCTCATGCCGCCCCCCTCGGGAGCCCCTGCAGAGCCTTCCCCATGTGAACCCTGATTTGGCAGATAAGTGGGGGCTCTCCCTGCTGAGCCTGTCACTGGGCAGCACACAGGTAAGGGTCAGAGCAGGCAGCCCAGAGGGGAAGCACGGGCTGGAGACGGGCTCTTCGCCTTGGACAAGATGTCCTGCAGACGGTGTGTTTTCTTGTAACTGTCTATTTGGAATAACTGCACGTTCACAGCTGCAGGGTTAGCCCAGACCGCGCCTGCCCTTTCTGCGCCTGGGCGGGCCCTGACCTCTCACCACCTTCGTGTTCTTGTTTTTCTCCACACTGTCTACACGTGTGTGTCTGGGTGTTTATGCCTTTGCACTCACATGTCCGTTAAGTAACACACGTTGTTTTGTTGTGAACCATGAGAGCAGAGCGCAGAAGCCCTGCCCTCCACCCCCAGTGCCTCCCAGGTGCTCTGTAGGGACCGTTATTTTATAGTCACAACTCGGTTATCAAAGGATTGGTTCCCTCATTTTGTACATACATGACTTTGAATTATTTTTCTAACTAGAGGCTTATGAAAATGAGATATTTGGGTATGGTTGCACCTCCATGAGCACCTGTGTCCCCCACCTCCCCCCGGCAGGCCCTGGGGTTGCAGCCCTGGCGCGCTCTGCGCCTCCCATCCCTGTGACCTCATTCCTGCAGCGTGGGTGTTGGGCCCAGAGACTGGCTGGGTAACGCGCTGCCCCTCTCTGTCCCCACAGCCTATGGCATCGGCCTCCTGGTGACGTTCATGGCGCTGGCACTCATGCAGCGCGGCCAGCCCGCCCTCCTCTACCTGGTGCCCTGCACGCTCATCACCAGCTGTGCCCTGGCCCTCTGGCGCAGGGAGCTGGGCGTGTTCTGGACGGGCAGCGGCTTTGCGGTGAATACCAGTTTGCTATGACTGTCTGCGAGAAGTAATAGCCTGATAAGCCCTAACTAGAGTTAAAGTTGAGTGAGAGCTTCTGGCGCTGCCACTGACCCTGCAGCCCACGTCCCATGGGCGGTGTCTCCCATCTCTGCAGGGTTTTGTTGTGGGTGTCCTGCTCCTCCTGTGGCCGCGGTGGGGGTGCGGGGGACGTGCTCGTGGCGGCCGGAGGTGATGCTTCTGCCTCGGGGCTCTGGTGCCCGCACCTGCTTCTGCTGCGGGAGGGGCCCCAGCTGGGCTATTGTTCTTGCTTGAAAAAGAGGAGGGAAGGGGCAGAGGCCTCTCTGTTAGCGCGCGGCCATCGTCGTGTCCTCGTGACTCTCAAGGACACTGCTGGTCTGCGGTGTCTCCTGCGGGCCCAGTTAGGAGACCTGTCCCATCCCGACGGGGGCTCTGAGCCCGTCAGGCGTGTGTGTAACTTGTCCACATAGATGCGGCCCCTGAACACCTGTTACATGCACGAGGCCCCAGGCCTCCAGGTTCCCCGGTCAGTCAGCCTGACACTCGGACCCTCTCCCAGGCCCTCGGGAAGGCTTCCTGGGCTCAGTGCTCACCGTCCCCAAAGGTCTCAGTCCTGGTGGGCGTTGGTTTTGCCACAGAACGGGTGGGTTCATTCTGGAAGTTTCCGGAGGGGGAAGAAGTCAGGGTCGGCCCCTGCTGGGGTCTGGGTTTCCCGGGAAGGCACCTCCAGCCTCAGGGGTTGGGACTCCTCTGCCCTCCGCCCATCCTCGCGGCCCCGCCCAAGCCTTCCCAACCAGCCGCCTCTCTTCTGCAGAAGGACCTGCCTCAGCCCGCCTGGGCGCCGGCTTCAGCCGACGGCCCGCAGCCCCGGCCCAACTCAGACACCGCCCCCTCCCAGCAGCCTCGGGCCGAAGAGCCGGCCCCGTCC